AGGTTTTCTCCTGACATTAAGTCCAGTCATGTCTGACTCTGGGGGTTGGTGCTCATCTCCATTTCTAAGCCGAAGAGCGGGCATTGGCTGTAGACAGCTCCAAGGTCATGTGGCCAGCATGACTTCGTGGAGCGCTATTACCTTCCCGCCGGAGTGGTACCTATTGATCTACTCACATTTGCAAAATGCTAGGTTGACACTTAGTTGGATCCTTAACAATACCTGACTTTGGATTGTACAACATAAGGCAATTTTTTTATTTATTGAGTCTGGACAGTTGTTCGGTCACATCACTTATAATTTTGACTTGGGATGTTTTCTGGATATGGGATCTTACACATTATGCTGCTACAAATAGCCTTCTTTCCAGAATGCAATTGACTGCCTTGATGCAATTGCTCTGTCAATTTTTTTAACCATACCAGCAACAATTATATCGTTATTTCTGAGCCTTTGTCATTTAAGAATAAAATCTTTGATATGTTGACCTCATTTTCCATATATAATATTTCTGCCACCTTTGAAATGAGCAGGCTGCAAACCCCTGTAGAGAGGAGTATTGGCATTTTTTAATTCACCGTACATGGTACAAATGGGATGTGTGATCACCAAGCAATCAATCATAGAATCATAGAGTTGGAAGAGACCTCATGGGCCATCCAGTCCAACCCCCTGCCAAAAAGCAGGAATATTGCATTCAAATCACCCCTGACAGATGGCCATCCAGCTTCTGTTTAAAAGCCTCCAAAGAAGGAGCCTCCACCACACTCCGGGGCAGAGAGTTCCACTGCTGAACGGCTCTCACAGTCGGGAAGTTCTTCCTAATGTTTAGATGGAATTTCCTTTCTTGTAGTTTGAAGTCATTGTTCCATCTCCAGAGCAGCAGAAAGCAAGCTTGCTCCCTCCTCCCTATGACTTCCTCTCACAAATTTATACATGGCTATCATGTCTCCTCTCAGTCTTCCCTTCTTCTGGCTAAACATGCCCAGCTCTTTAAGCCGCTCCTCATAGAGCTTGTTCTCCAGAGCCTTGATAATTTTAGTTGCCCTCCTCTGGACACACTACAGCTTGTCAATCTCTCTCTTGAATTCTGGTGCCCAGAATTGGACACAATATTCCAGGTGTGGTCTAACCAAAGCAGAATAGAGGGGGTAGCATTACTTCCCTAGATCTAAACACTATGCTCCTATTGATGCAGGCCAAAATCCTATTGGTTTTTTTTGCCACCGCATCACATTGTTGGCTCATGTTTAACATGTTGTCCACGAGGAAACCAAGATATTTTTCACACATACTGCTCTATAGCCATGCGTCCCCCTTTTTGTATCTTTACATTTCATTTTTTTCTGCCTAAGTGGGGTACCATGGCAACTCCTGGCTCATTATGGACTACTAGAGAAAGAATTCATCTTCAGTGGGAAAAGCAACTGTGTATTGTATTTGTGAAAAAGTACAGAATTGAGAAGACAGTCAGCAAGCAACAATGTGCCCTTGCTCTCAAGCCAACCTTTTCTAAAAGGCTCTTTAGAAGTGGATGTGGGATGCTGGCACATTATACAGAAGCCCTTGACTTTTGTCTCTCTCTTGTTGAGGAACTGCCTAGTATGTGTTGGATGGGCTTTAGTTTTCAATCACATTAATGCCAGCCATATATGAAGTGTCAAGAGCCCATTATGTGACACATATTGTATCAGTTTGAATGAACCCTTTTAGCTTCCCACCACCTTGACTTGAATTTTCCTTGATTACACAAGATCGAAGCCAAGTGTGTATGTGTGTGGGAAGACGTATGCAGTCAAGGAGTTTAGGACAAACACAGCTGCTTGTTGCCCGTTACTTCAATGTATACATCATTACACAGATACATACTCACATGGAAACTCACAGTTTCCATGAGTATGTTTCAGTGATGTGTGGGCGACACAGGACTGATCTTGTGAGCGTGTGGTTGTATTAAAGAGGAACAAGAGATTTGCACATCCAAAATACTCACTCCTCACCATGCTTGATTGTAGGCCAGCCTTAGATATTAGGGGTGTGCATAATTTCATTTTTAAATTTGTATTTTGAATCAAATTTGTTAAATTTGTGCATAGGTAAAGGTAAAGATTTTCCCCTGACATTAAGTCCAGTCGTGTCCGAGTCTGGGTTGTGGTGCTCATCTCCATTTCTAAGCTGAAGAGCTGGCGTTGTCCGTAGACACCTCCTAGGTCATGTGGCCAGCATGACTG